AGCTAACTTGGCTAACAGGTCCCCCAAGAGCACGCTCAAGGAAACGTTGGCTGTTAGTTTAGAAAGTAGAGCGCCTCTAGCGGCGCATGTAGCGCTGTGCAAATACATCAATCATAGCGGCGAATATGAGGCGTTTATGATCATTTCGACAGTAGTGACTGTACGTAAGTTAGCTGACATGATAGTAGGAAGAACACAGACATCCCTACCTAAATTTCAGATTGTGCAACTGCCTCTGGAATACAGCCGGGTCCAGCTTTTCCAGCTCACTATCATGACACAACAGAGTAACAGCTTTTAAAAGGACTGAAAGCTAACAGTCGTCTCACTCACTCTCATACACACTACAGAGCAATGTAACCACTACATTTTACAACTGTAATGATTGGTGCATATAAATTATTACTGCTATGAGGCATTTCCACCCCGTGCGTGGTACAAAACAATTGTTTTTACAAGATAGGTAACGTTAACATCCAGGAACGTTAATGTGGTGTCTCCCACACTTACCCGCGCGACATCCCCTCCTCTGTTCTGCTCGTGATACAGACCTGAGCTCCCAATGGCTGCTTCAATAGTTCAGCTGTTACTAAAATAAACGGTCTTTTGAGGAATTAATTAAAGCTCGAATGACACACGCTTCATGAAATGTGTCTTAATTATTAAAATACAGACACAGTAAAACAACTCCTGACGTTGTATCAGTAAAAATTTACCCGGGATTGAAAGCCAAGGGATGCGTTCAAGAACAACACCGCGGCTACGCAGCTATACTCACTCACTCACTCCCCGGAAACGGTCCACGTGAGCGCCTGTTTCAACCGACGCTAACGGCTAATGGCTACTGTAGCTCAGAAGTTCACCCTGGTCCTTTAACATTTATGTTAAAAACTCCGTTCTTAAAATTAAAAAATGTCAATTAAGCATTTGTAAACGCTGTACTAACTCTTATGTAATGCCAACAGTAGCATTAGAAACGTTTAAACAACATTAACATCTTCACTGCTGGGTCACTTATTTCTGCTAGGCTAAAAGTCATGTTAGCTTTAATGTAATCCATCATAATTGTATTTATTTCAGCCCCATTTCAGCTTTGTCTTCCTTAATATTCTGTTGAAGGGCACTTTTATTATTGTTAATGAGGTTAAAGTAAGGAGGTAAGTTTACAGCCTCCTTGCCTGTGTCACTCTTTATCAGTGTTGCTAAGCAACAGCTAAGCAACAATAGCTCACAGTTAGCCTACTTAAAGGATAACTTTGGTAGTTTTCAACCTGGACCCTATTTCCCTATGTAAATTGGTCAAAGAGACTGATGGGAACAAAAATGTCTCATATTACGCCAGTATTGAGGGAGCAGGCAGGGTCGGCAGCCACGCAACGTGCTGTAATGGAAGCACACAGGGCAATTGAACACCGTCACTGTATGTCCAGTGGTTATTTTCACCACACACGGGCTCAGATTGTTATAAGCGTCTTAAGCTCCGCATATTATGCTCATATTCAGGTTTATACATGTATTTTGGGTTTCTACAAGAACATGTGTACATGCTTCAGTGTTCAAAAAACACATTGTTTTTCTCACACTGTCTGCCTGAATACATGTGTAATCACCCGGTCTGAAACACTCTGTTTTTCTATGTTTATAGACCGTTTCACTAGAATTACATTGTTAAACAACAGCTTGGGTACATGTTTGCATCCTGTCAGGTGACAACGAAAATAAAAAAAAAGAAACGATCTCACTTGCCAGACTTTGGTGTCAAATCTGTTGGAGTCAGTGAGGCAGACACTGCATATCACACTTTAACCCCTCATATCTTTGTTGTTTTAACTTTGACTGAAAAATCCTTCCACCACATAAAAAAACACACATTACATAATCCTTACCAACATTTTTTAAATCTAAATATGTGTGTTTGTTTTTCTTGTTACTGGTCTCTAAACAGATCATGGCTCTGTCTAGCAGCTGCTCAACCTCTGTTGGACAGAGCCAGAGGCTAATCTGTTTAAAGAACAGGAAAATGGACATGCATAAAGTATCAGTCAGCACCATGTAATGTGTGTGTTTTTTAATCTGGTGGAAGCATTTTTCAGTCAAAGTTGAAACAACAAAGATATTATGGTTTATAGTGTGATTTGCTGTGCCCTCCCCATTGACTCCAATAGAACTGCCACCAAAGTCTGGCTCCTTGAGTGCTGTCACTGCTGTCGGGACCATTCCTTCTTTTATATTTTCCTTGTTAGCTGATATCATTCACACACACTGCAAAACATCTCAACAAGAAATACAAAAGGACCCATATAGATTGTTTGTGTTTCAAATGGTCAATATAGTATGGCTGTGACATCACAACTTGAATACTGACTGTGTGCATTCCTCTATAGATTGAGCGTTTTGATACTTTCACAGTATTCATATAGCACCTATGCCTGCTTTATTTTTCAAATGACATGGAAATCTGACTTTTCACAAAATGGGACCTTTAAACCACTGCGTTTCCATCACACTATGGCCCTTTCCATGTGTGTTTTGAATATTTAGTGCTGACAGCATTTGCACCTTAATGTCACATAAAAGCTGCTGTCTTTATACAAAACTAGTAAAATTAAGTTGCCTACATAATGGTAATGGAAACAAGGGAAAAACTATATAAGCCTATGTTACACACACTACTGTATGTGTGTTTTATGCAGCCTTAAGTTCTGTTAATATTTTTGATGCATTCAGTGCCATCAATGAGTCAATTACCCGTTTCATGAGTTGCGTTTCTTATTTTGACCACTAAGTGGGGCAGTTAAACAGTCATGCAGATGGTAAGCTGCTGCTGAGGTCACAACTCTCCACCTGCCTTGTCTCTTCCTTCAAGTGAACAGGAGTGTCTGTTAAGATTAATAATTGACCTTTTGATCACTCTGGAAAATTTAAATTTATGAGTCTTTGCTGCTGAAGATGACCACTGATTGCAGTGCTTCGTTTGGTTAAGAAATCAAACAGAAGAGAAGTGATAAAAACAGATGAGACACACTGACAAAAAAGAGACAGAACAGCATAACAAAAATATAGTGACAAATCTTTTAGACTTAATGACATTCCTTTATACCTAAAACCTTTTCCAAGACCCATTTTGCTCTTTAAAATATGAATTATCTTTGTTTTACCAGTGCTTACATTGTTCATTAATTGCTTTCTTTTTTGATCATTATCTTGCTTTGTTGATGTCATTGGTTTATGATATATTTTCTTATCTTGTGTTTATTGATCCTTGGAAACCTCTTTGTGTCGCTATAAAAAGTTACCATTAATATCTGGATTTTTATGACACAAACATACACACAGACAACATACAGTGAACAATAATAACAGGAGAAAATAACCATAACTCTGTACATATGTTACAGCACACAGGATATACTCTTACAATTTTTTTTTTTACCTTCTACTACTATTTACAAAAATACTGTTGGTTCACATCAGTGATGATGTTTGAGAGCTGAAGTTGTGGTGTTATTGTGATTAACATTAAGTACGCTTTTGTTCACCTTTTTATATACTATGTCATAAAATAGATGTGTTTGCGCTGTCATAAATGTGTTCCTTGCTGATGAATCAGAGTGGGTAAACATTAATCAGATGACTGCATTAATAGAGTTTGTTTAATGAAACAACTTCTGTGCTAAACAGACTTTGGGTAATTGTGTCCTCACCCTGTTGTCAACATGTTGCCTCTCTCAAGTTGTACAACATTCTGTGTCGGATATGACCTGAGACTCACTTTCCTGTTTTGTCTGTTCAGTAACTTTGTTCAAACCTCTCAAAAGTTAATACTGTATTTAGTAGTGCCCACATACAGTTTATCATTAGTGAGAGATGTGTGTCTTTATACACGTAACACACGTGCACACAGATTAAGTTTACATTATCACTCATGCCAAAAGATGATGCAGCTGAACACACACAAAAACCACACACCTGTGCAAGCATCAAAGTGTTGAGCTGTTGCTCTTTTGTGCTCAAAATTAACATCCCTGTACCTGCTGAGTGTGTATTTGTTTGTTTTGGGTTCACTAATCCCACCCGGCTCTGCTGGCTCCATACACAGATGATTACAGTTGGTGACTGGCCTGGAAACACACACACACAAACACACTGCATTCTGAATTATGAGTACGTCATGGTTTGAAGACAGCAGTTATACGGGTAGGAAGAGGAGCTGATTTCAAGTACCAATCTTTTGTTTATGCCTGTCAGTTTGTATGCAACGGATCCTTTTAATCTAATGCAAAGACGTTAAGGCCCCGTTGTTTGTACATGAACATTTTTCAATTAAAAAAAAACAACTTTAAGTTATGTATGTCATGTTGTTTTCTTATTGACAGCTTGCTAAGGGTTACAGTGCTGTCTTTGTGATATGAAACCATAGCTTAGCAGGATTAATTTAAACATTATGGCTTTGCAGTTTCGTTACAGATAGGCTGTAACCTACTCCCAGTTGTGAATTGTTCTTCTTACACAAGATAACATAAGAAAAAAAAATAGTTGTTGTGACTGTTCCAGCTCTTTGCATTTTGGGATACAGTAGACGAAGCAGGCTGTTCAGATGGAAAATATAAAAAATAAATCTATATCTAAATTATGGTGGAGTAGAAGTAGCAGAGTAGAAAATGGAATACTCAAGTAAAATCCAAGTTTCCTTTAAACAGTACTTATGTTCAGTATTTCAGTAAATGTATTATTATTTTCCACCTCCTGCAATAACTGAACTGTACCTGTGTTTATGATGTCACTTTATCTCAGTCATCATACTAAGCAATAAAGGCGTAATATACGGCAAAGTTCACTCGGGTCGTCACCGAGGTGAAGTGATTTTAACATGCAGATTTTACAAGCTACTCACTGATTGGTTAATCACCAAAAACATTGTCTCTGTTATGCACACACGTTAAATGACTCATCCAAAGGAACATGTAAATGTTTTGACAGATATTTGATTTATTAACATGTTTTCTATATACACACAATTAGCGCGCACACACACACACACACACACACACACACACACACACACACACACACACACACACACACACGTGACGTGACACTCTTTCATCAGCTATCTATTAACAGGATCAGTCAAGGAACAACGGCTTGGCATGCAGGGTTACAGTTTCAGAAGGCAAACGATGAGCAATGAGGGTCAGAGCAGCATTCGTCTGAGTGACTTTAGACCATTTAGGAGAAGTTATTAAAGCTGCATTTCCCCTGTGAGCGTATTTGGTTTCCAGCATCTGGTATATTGTTCTGTAAATCTAAAACTTTGAGCAAAACTAACGTTAGTCTTTTAAAGCAGGTAAATAGGGATATGCTATGTTCAGCAACTGAAAGAGAGAAGCTTCTTTAATACCAGATGTCAGGTATATAGATATGTAAATGACATAATAAAAATAACAAGGACATCAGATGTACAAATGCATCACCCAGCACTGTCAACGTCAAGCACCATCAATCACCAACTTCATTTGTTATCACGTTACTACAGTACATCAAAGCTGCTACTGTATATTTACAGATGTTTCATACAGTATTCAATATAACACTAACATGTATCATGAAACAAAACTAATCAACATCACTGTTTGCTATCTACAAGCTAAAATCTTTTCCAAGCTTCCCAGTTACAATTCATAAAACCACAGTCCACAAAATAAACACTGTGTAGCTAACTGACATTTTTTTAAAAAGTGCTACACGGAGCATTTTTTAATACCAGTGCATCATCTGAAAACTAATTTTGACACTTTGACATAACTGCCTTAAACAAACCAGACCACTGTTGTGAGAGCCTCTGTTTCACACCAACTGTATCACTCACTGTCTCATATATATTATATTATAATTATTCTTAGCTGAGTTTTCGTCGTCTTTCTTTTGTCAAACTTTTTGTTTTGGTCTTCAGTCAAGAAAAAAACAGACTTGATGTACTTACTAACAATGATTACAAAGTGCAGTTTGTTCCAACAATTCAGCAGTTTCCCTGTGAAATCTGACCCCATAGGACGATGTGAAAAGCCAGTAGAGACAGCCAGTCATCTCAGTTTTCCTTTATCATAGCAATGTGACAAAAGTGTGAAATGATAGTTGTTTTTTGATATTTGATGTTAAAGTGAAAAACACGGCTGGTTAAAGCAGTAGATTTTTTTTTACCCATCTGTTTCTGCTGGGTATGAGTGTAGTATTATTGATGTTAAAAAATCGAACTGCCTTTTTCATTTCTTTTTTTGGATGCTGTCTTCTTTCAAAGCACTGGTGGTGAACCTAAGGGTTATTATTTCTGTTCACATAAAAAATTCAGATATGTTTTTCTGTAAAAATCATCAGGGATCAGGGAGACAGACACTATTAAGGGCTCTATTTTCCTGCAGGTGTAAAGCCAGCATAAGGGCAAAATAAGTTTTATGCTCTTTACCTCAGATGCAGGTCTATTTTCAGGGCAATAGGTGTACAGGCACAGACCTCTCCATAATCACAAAGCACCTTTCATGTATGTTAAGTTCTTCCTCTTTATGTTTGCTACATGGTTTGTTTTCATCTAAGCTACTGCAGATTGATAGAGCAATAAAATACAAATTTAAATGTTGCTGAGGAAGATCAGTAATATCATCTACATGATTATGATCCAGTGACGTCAGCACTGATGTTCTGTTTGATGTCTGAGTTTCCAAAAACAACTTGTGAAATGTCAGATCAACAGTCTGATTTGAGAGATGTGCCTTGTGTAATTTTACATATGTATTATAAATATTTTCCTTTTTATTTTATATTTTTTCCTCTGCTCAGAGCAAACTCCATGGCAGGGCATCACACTCACACCTCTTCCTGCTGTTGTTTGATGGTCATGCCTATTTCTGTTTGCACTTGAAATTTTGCCTTCATTTGCATCTGCACATTTTCAGGAAAATAGAGCCCTCAGTCCGGATGTACACAGGAAGACAATGTGGTGGGGGATTTCTTTTTGAATAGACATAATATGACAATTTTTGTTCATAAAATAATTATCAAACACACTCGTTATTCCACTGAAGATGAATGGAATAACAATCATTTTTACTGCATCTTGGTAACGCGTTTATGCAGATCCTCCCTATCTCTCTAAGAACAAACCTGGGACTTTCAGGCAATCTTTTTGGAACATATTTTAACCATAAATGTCTCCATTGCAGGCGTGCTCCCTCTGCTACACCCTCAAAAGGGAAAAATCGGGAAATCCCTGCAGTAGTCAAACATAGATGACATGTCGGGATTTCTGCAGTGCTTCATGAGGAGCTCTTATTTTCGTGAGACTCAAAAAAAGAAATATCACTCCATTAAAAGAATCACCCTGTTCAAACATCTGACAGTTAACTCCTGCCTCACAGAAAGCTGTCCTCAGTGGCGACGAAGGAGAACCCATTGAAGGCGTTGTTGGAGCTGGTGCCGGCGTTGAACTCCGGGGTTCGACTCACGGAGTTAGGAACCATTTCTCTGGTGAACTCAGGATCAATATGCTGAGTGTCAGCCGGGCCTCTCTGAAAGATGAAACAATCTGTGTAAGTGATTTCTGAAAATAATGGACAAGGTGGAAGGGAAGTTTCTTCTGGCAGGTTTTTTGATTTCTGTAACAGAAATGTCAGGATGCACTATCCCGCTTACTCCATGTTGCTATGGTTACATACAGCTGCATATATATTGTCATCAAATACCAATGCTTTGGGGTGGTAGTCAACCACTAACCCAACATGTTGATATTAGACAACTTGGGAATGAGACTCAACAATCAACCATCTTTCTCCAGAGTAACATGCAGCACATTTAAAGTTTTTAACTAATTTAAAAGTAATTAAACCTGTTAGTAAATCAGAAATAAGTATTTTTGATGCCGTGGTACTATAAATTAGTGTCATTAAAGGAGCTGTACGCGACATTTAGAGCATATCTATGAGTCTGTTTAAAACTGGTATTAACATGCATCTTGGGTGATCCGATCCCAAATGGACAGCGTTAAATACAAGTGTATAGGAACACCAAGACGCATTGTGATCCAATCACTCAAACCACTTACAGAGGTGGTCTGGGGTGCATTTGACCCCATATCTTTTGTAGAGTAAAAGGTAATATGTCCCGAGGCCTCTCTGACAAGGACGTAACAGGAAAATACATCATCAATACAGGATGCGGTGGCTGTTTTGGTGACAGTGTGCTTACACTCTATAAGTTGTCCATTTTACAACGTGTTGGACGACCTGTCACATGATTAATTTTGTCCTATGGATGGAGACGTGTTGAATTTGACAGACAGTGATATGTCCAGCTGTACCAACAGAACCACTAACATGACTAGTGAATAGCTAGGGAGAGTGTGAATAGAAAAACTGTGGGCCCTTTGACCTTCTAGGATAAGTAGTATAGGCAGTAACAAAATCTGAACACAAGTGGTTCGCTATAGATGCATGATAGACACAGGTGCGAACGACGATATGTCTTAGCCGTCCACTTGATCAGATTACTGAAATCCATTTTAATACCAGGTGTAAACAGGCTCTCTGATTCAGAGTTTGGAGGGAAAAAGTCTGCACAAGGTTCTCAACATGAAGGTGGTCATGCCAGCTGCTAGCCGCTAATGGTGCTAACTCAATAAATAGTGCTTACAACAACAACAGTGCTGACGGAGCGAACAGTGATAACATGGGAGGGACCAGAGGGTGGGCGCTATGCTTCCTTAATGACCCTGTCCCAATATCACATGTAGCTGCTATAAGCACAGTGCAAAGCAGGACCGCTGGACCATCTACCACAACACTGGACAAAGAACCTTGAAATACAACACACACGGACGGAGCATGGCTTCATTTTCTCCTCAGGATGCCATCACTCCACATATCTATCTTTACATAGCAAATGCTATATCAATTATCTGAAAGTCACATACAGCTGCTTTAAAACTAGACTCAGTTGCTAATACAAAGCATATCTGAGGATCACCCCTAGTACAATCTACTGGGGGCGCCCACTAGCTCAGTGTGTAAAGAGGGCGCCCCATGTACAAAGGCACTGTCCTTGCCACAGTGGCCATGTGCTGGATTCCAGCCAGTGGCCCTCTGCTGTATGTCATTTCCCGTGGGTTTTGTTGGCACTGCCACTGGAAAATGTGTTGTGGGTGACAAAACGTAAGGGGAGGTAAATGATTGTATTTGAGGAGGTACACAGATGTCTAGATGTGCACACACAGCTGACAAAAGACAGAGAGCAGGGACAGACTTAATATGTAACAACAGTTAGTGTTCACAGCCTAAAACAACTCACCACATTCGGGTTGTAAGGAGGAGTGATTCTCTTGTGGTAAAGGTCGTCCCAGTTGATTGGAGAGAAAAATGTGTGGTTCTTTATTTCTAACTGTAAATAAAAGAAAGAAAAGTTATACATGTGTACGGTATATAGTTATATCGACATTTCCCATTCCTCCTATTAAGAATTCAGAAAAACTGGCACTTTGATAGAGATCTGCACAATTATTGTGCTGTTTTAACTATGAGAAACAAAGTATAAAAGTGATGTCATCCTGGTACATTTTCTCAGAGGTACTGGATGAGATCTGTTCTTAGAAAAGATCCAAAGTCCTTTAAAGATGTCTTCTACTGCTCGAGGCTCGTTTCCCAAACACGGAATAAACTTAGTCCTCAGTTAAAGCAGCATTTAATGGAGCGGTCCTTTGATCATCCTTTGTCTAAGACTGGGCTTATTTCTTGTCTGGGAAACCATCTGGTTCAATGTGTAGCAACAGCTGAAAGACACACTCACAAAGTCGGCGATGGCCCCAAGGCGTCTGTGCTGGTCCTTCTGCAGGAGTCCCACCAGCAGGGAGCAGACGGCATCAGACTTCCCTGGAGGCAGTGGCAGCGGCTTGTGGAGGATCCCATCATACATTTCACCAACGTCACGGCTGTAGAAAGGAGGCTGAAGAGGAGGGAAGGGTACAAATATCATTAGTATGAAAGGATACAGGGCAATTTAACATATTATTAACATTGCAAAAGTTTCATTAGATGTGTTCACTTGTAAGAAGCTGAAAATCCATGTTCATTATTCCTAGGACCATGAGTGTTGACCTTGTCTCTAACAGGTTGTATGTCAGATTGGTGTGTGCCTTTTTGTCCTGAGTGTACGGCAGATTAAGATTTAAGATTCAAAATTCATATACATATACATAAATGCAAAATAGACATATTCTATATGCATAAAATGAGAGTCTTCAGCCAAGGTAGCAGCTCTGTTAGACTCGACTTCAGACATGTTCAAAGTCCTACCCAGGGGCAAATCGTGGCCCTCAGCCAGATTTTAAACCACCTGCTGCTTTTCTTTAAAAATATACAATATGTGGCCCACCATACAATATTGGTTAATCAAGCAAGATCATTTTGCATTTTTTCAATTTTTCAGCTAATGGCAGGACTATCATACAGTTTGTAGACCTGCACCAAGTAGAAACTACACAGACAGAACTAGTACGTGTTCGTAAAGATCATAAACAGACGAGAAACAAGCAAACAAACAAAGAAAGAGGCATTAAGTTGACAGCAAGAGCCACTGTTTTCAGAAGCAATGGAAAGCAATGTTCAATGGAAGATGAAAAAGTTGTGTTTGTCTAATTCAGTGGTTCCCAACTGGTCCAGCAACAGGGTCCAGATTTCTTCTTAGTCATTAGTTCAAGGTCCCACAGTTAATACAAACAGTGTCATACTTGCATTTGGCCATGTCACTGAGTTAGTTTGCTGCCTCTGTCACGTAGCTGTCCGTTAGACACTCACTCTACAGCGAAAAACGGCGCTTCAAAATAAAAGCTCTGTGCTGGAAATGTACTGGACTTACAAATAAACAGTGGGGTTTTTTTTTACAACCTCAACACATTCTGGAGTCATCTGTGGTCCATTCGGAATGGGCCCAAGACCCACTTTCGGACTGCATCCCATCAGTTGAGAACTTCTGGTCTAATTTGTATGTGATTTTTATTTTTTTAACCCATATAATGCAAGAGGACGCTGGCCCCAGGTATTTTCAAATTATTTAATCTGGCCCCCATTCAAAAAAATGTTTGGACACCTCTGCTCCACTTAGTAGGGCTGCACAACTCTTTTATAGTCACTGCAATGTCAACTTGCACAATAAACACATTGTGAAAGACTGCATTGAAAGTAATTTCCTGTCAATTCAACAAGGAGATTCTCGTAGCAGTATACTTTTCTGTATCAGAAAAGCAGAACTGAGTAGTCTAATATCTGTTTATCTATCGTAAGTAATATTGTTATCACAGCATTCAACAACTTTATCATATATTGTATATTTTCCTCATATCAGGCAGCCCTAGTAGACAGGCATAGCAGTGGTACTTTGAGCGAAATGCTAACATCACTGTGTTTACAATGACATACAGTAATATTTCCCATGTTTGTCATCCTAATTAAGTGTGTTAGTATCATGCATTTTATTAATTAGCACTGAACACAAAGTATAACTGAGGTTTCAGACTAGACCAAAGTGGTGGCCTGACTGGCTGACAGATGGCCTGCGTGGTTACGAAGGGTCAATTTTCTATTTATGGTCCCAAGAGGACTGATCCTACAATTTTAGAGATGCTCTGACCTTTTCCTTAGCAATGCAACCAGGCCAAAATTTCTACTTGTACATGAAAAATATCCAGCAGAATGAAATGTACTGAACACGTTCATGATCCCCTGAAGCTGAACCCATTATAATTTGGACATTCCATAAGATTTCCTTCAACACCACCTTCAAATGAAAATGTCGACCCTGTACATAAGATATACTGTATTGTTGTCTAACGTGAAAATACTTCCAAAAGGGATAACGTACAAATCAGCCACACACAAACACACATACCAGGCTGTAGATCATCTCATAGGTGACTGCTCCCAGACACCACCAGTCCACTGTCCTGTCATAGGCTTCTTTACGAAGAACTTCTGGTGCCAAGTACTGCAGACAGTAATGATGGAAAAAGTATAAAATATATATTATATATTGATGTCACTGTTAGTTCTCTGCACCTCTTAAATTCAACCATGTAGGACATACAGTATGTTGTGTGACAGATAAGTCATCTAATGTCCTTCTGCCTTTTAAATGTATGTTTTTTACTCACTTCTGGAGTTCCACAGAAAGTCGAGGTGGTTCCCTCTGGCTCTACGCCTTCTTTACACAGTCCAAAATCTGTCAGCACCACATGGCCCTGCACACAACAAACCACAAGCAGGGACATTTCAGTCACACAAATATAATCACAATTACAGCAAAAAAAGACTAAAACATATAGAGGAGGACGTTTGAAGCAGAACTGGACTCACCTGAGAGTCTAAGAGAATATTCTCTGGCTTCAGATCTCTGCAACAAACAAGAACAAACAAACTGTCATAACAGAAAGTAAAAATAGATTGCTTATGAATTTACTGTTTTGTTTTGTTTTATAGTAAAAACCCAGAGTCTCTACACTCTGGATGTAATAGATAGTGATTAGGTTTTAAGTTTATTTCCTTTATTAATCCCCCTGAGGAAAAATTCAATGTTTTCACTCTTGCTTGTCAATTACACACATGTCCGAAAGACACACACATGCACAAACAGGACCTATACATGCACAAAGTGGAGAGATGTCAGAGTGAGGGGGCTGCCCTTGGTGAGGCGCCCCGAGCGGTTGGGGGTTTGGTGCCTTGCTCAAGGGCACCTCGGCAGTGCCCAGGAGGTGAACTGGCACCTCTCCTGTCACCAGTCCACGCTCCATCTTTTGGTCCAGACGGGGACTCGAACTGGCGACCCTCCGGTTCCCAACCCAAGTCCCTATGGACTGAGCTACTGCCGCCATTCCGGCCAACTCATTAGGTCATTTTAATAAATGTTTCTGATTTCTCACCTGTAAACAATGTTGAGAGAGTGAAGATAGCCGATGGCGCTCGCTACCTCGGCTGCATAGAATCTGGCTCTGGGCTCTGAGAAACACCTCTCTCTTTGCAGGTGGAAGAACAACTACAGACAGAGAGACATACGGGTGGACACATAAACACAGCATGGAGAGGATGGAGGGAGAAATCAACCTGACATTAAAAATAAAATACTTTCAGCCAAGGTCTGAGGTAACATGCTTTAGCTCTATCTGATCTGATTAATATGCATAAATAAAGGATTACTTGTTAGGGTATTGTTACAGTGCAGCCTGCTGTGTCCTAGCCAAACAACAAGGAAGCAAAATGCACAGGAATAAGATCATATGATGTTAAGAGCCATAAAAACTTATTTACATCTGGCAGAAAGAATGAAATCAAATATTATTGATAGTTCTGAAACCGCACACAAATCAAATTAAGAAGATAGAGGATGTTGTGTTTAGTGTTCTTGTGTGTCAAAGAAATGGTTCAATATTTTAGGAAATACACTTATTTTCTTTCTTATCTGGCACTAGGTGATAAGATTGACAAAAGATCATGTCTAAATATGAAGCTACAGCAAGTAGCTTGTTAGCCTAGCTTAGCATAAAGACTAGAAGCAGCGGGAAACAGCGAGCCTGGCTCTGCCCGATAATTGGTGACAGTTTGGTACAGTTATACAGATACAAGTGATTCAAATATAAATGAGAAAATTAGTAGCATCCTTCAGATGATAGCAGCACTGCCGCTAATAATGTCTCTTAAAATCAAGATCCTGTTGCTTCCTGTCCATCAGGTTGTTACGAAATGGTTTATGTTCAGTCAAGGCAGTTAATGTCATAAATCTGACTGTATGACACACATTATAAAGTCTACAAGGTGTTGACAAAGACTTTTATTATAGGAAACATCTACTATCTGAAAATTAACATGGTGACTCAAACTAATAGTCAGCTAACCTTTGTGTTTTCTTTTGGACACAACATTCACTCCACGTCAAAGTCAATTTCTCACCACGTCCAATGGAAATAAAGTATTCTGTGTTGGTGTTTGTATTTATTTAGTTCAAAGACACATACCTCTCCCCCATTCACATAGTCAAGGACAAAGTAGAGCTTCTCCGGGGTCTGGAAGGAGTAGTGGAGTCGGACCAGAAAGGGATGTTTCAGACTCTTCAGCAGCACATTTCTCTCTGCCATAATGTTCTTTTGCTAAAGAGACAAGAGAGTGACATGGTGATGAATGCATAAATCAAAATCACACAAATACAGGAATCATACAGAATACACATTTATCTAAACAACCACCGCTGTTTCCAGTTACTTTGGTTATTCCACCATCTGCCATGTCCGCTATTGTAAAGAACATACACTGATACTCTTTGGTAACTGGGGATAGCTATTAATAGCTACTGGGGAAAACAAAAGCACAATGACTAATGATTTTCCTTTGTGCTGTAAATCAAGCCATCATTTTCCCAGGACATTGTGCCCTGTGGCAGACTGAAATGCATTGTGAAAGCGAGGCTTATGGGGAACCTCTCTAAATGTCGGTGGTGTCATGATTCTGTGGCCATTACATTGTCCAGTTAACAATTACTTCATTATGATAGGTTAAAGAAAAAAAACTTGTCTATTTCCACTTTGAAATAATCAGAATCTGATCACATTCGGCAAGTCATGTTGTCCACAACAGTCATGTGGAGGCTCCTCGCTACATAAAAGTTTTCTGCACAATTTATTACTTAATTTCACTTTTTTTTTTTACTCAATTCTTGATTTAGAGATGACATTTATCAAAAGTGTCATGATTACTGAAGAGAAAGAATTCAATTTACTGTGTAATAATTGTCTAAATGCTGTTTCAGGTTCTCTTCCTGTCTGAAGGGATTGTTTTCTGGGACTTTGACATCACGTTTAAATTTAAGTTCCAGTAGGACAAAATGAGAAGAACAAAACAGGACAATCATCTCTTAACACCAACACTTCAGCAGAAGCAAACGAATGTAAGGTGGACAAGTGTGTTTGATCGGATACTCTTGTTGCTCAGTTTATTTTCTGGGAGTTGTAAAATCTGTCCTTTGTACAGAACAAGCTGCAGATTAGATAAGATTCAGATCGTGTTGCTGCGTCAAAACACTGTTTACTAATAACACTCATAGATACTGAAGCACACTTCACACACACACACTTTTTCCTCTTGGCTCACTGAGGTATTTTCCACCTTCGTTTAACTTAGCCTGGCACATCAGAGTACTGTGCAATCCAAAATACCTTTGTCTCCTAGTAAGTAAGTTTGTTTTTCAAAATATTTTACTCCGGTGGAATTTAATAAAAAGTAATTTCTGAGCCAGACTGCAGAGTCTCCTTCATCATTTTTAAGATGGAGCTTTCAAGCGTTAGAGTCTAAGTGAGGCTTGGTGTGTGTCAGTGTGGAGACTCTGTAGAGAGAAATTACAATGCCAGAAAGGATCAGCTCTCATTAAAAATGGACAAGCAAGCCCACCTCTTTCTTCTTCAGGATGATTTTCTTCTGCAGCACTTTGACGGCGTAGAATTTGTTGTCGGCTTTTAGCTTGGCAAGCAGGACCTGCATGGAGGTTTGTTTGTCAGTGCTTTGTTTAGTAAACAGACTGCACCACCATCTCAGCGCGCCACTGTCACGACATTGCATCAAACCCCACTGAGAGCACAACACAGATATGTGATCTGTGGAAACACATGATGCTGAGAAATCTGATAATGTGCGTTGATACAACGTCTTGACTTGCAGCCAATAAAAACACTGTTAGAATCATTTTTATGCAGAAACGCAAACCTGCCGACAAAGAAAGTATTCACATTAAGAGTTTATTGTCTTCCTGATGTGTAACATGTCTCTGGTGCTGTTTTATTTTCTAGTGTTTTGCTGTTCCATTGACTGGATGACGTTCAGGTAACCTTAAGAGGCTTCAGCGGACTGTAAAGTTAATGATTCATGAGGCAGGCAGCACATTTTGATCAGACAGTAGTCAGCAGGTAGACTCTCTCTGACCCTGTCTGCACAGTCAGCAACAGCTCACTATCTCTCTGTCTCTCTCCTCTGTCTGAAAAGGTCAGGACAATAAAATCCCTGCTGCTAATTGGGACTAACTCCTAATCTATACACCCTACGATTAATTCCTGAAACAGGGTCAACCATTAGTTAACGTCACCTGCTGTCTCAGAGAGTGTACATGGTTAAAAAGCACTTTCTCTGCTGGTGAATATGTGACCAGGTGTGAGTTATAATAAGGAAACTGCTGATAGAAAAACATGACTTATATTAAACCATAAAGAGATAGATAGATAGATAAGTAATTGTTTCAGTGTTACCTTTCCAAAGGTCCCTTTACCAATGACAGCCAAGAAGTCAAAGTCAGTGGGCCTGGCACTGAAACAAGACGGAGAGCAGTCTATTAAATGGTGGACGAAATTACATAATCACCTCTGAAGCACTTTTTTTGTAATAGCTTACAAATGGTAGAAAGGCTACCAGCAAAAACAAACAGTACTTTGTTCAAATGACCCTTCTCTTAAAGGTTGACTTTTCTGTTACATAAAATACAGAATACAGTACAGCATATAAATCATTAAAGATTCTGTTTGTGGAATTTTTACTGAAGATATGTGATCCAGATAATGGAAATTTCACTTTTAGCGGAGACAGTTGTAGGTTATTTTTGATAGATAAGTAGCTGTAAATCTTGAATGTGAATACAATGAGAGCAGAGCGACTGACTGAGGGTTTGCCGAAGGTCCCAGGTTGACATCAACATGAGGAGGGGAGGACGGTGACCGCAGCTGGAGGACAAATAAACACAAAACAAAGAGGGCTTCACTTTACATGCATTTTTTTTAAATAAAGACATGTAAACTGTTAATAAGCAACCAGTCATGTTGACTAGTTGCACAAGAGGAACGTCCTAGTATTTACATTTTGTGTGCTTACAGATTTGTCAGTATAATTGACCTTTCGCTAAGCCCCGCCCCTTTGTGATGGTCCGTCAAGCTGTCTGAGTAACGTGTAGCCCACACTGTAATTAACTGTAATCCCTGAAGAAATATTATCATACCTTTGGGAAAATGAAACAGTGATTCCAGAGAGAAGCAGACAGAGGGGTCTACAGTCTGTGTTTGAAGGATATATACAGGATGTCAAACTGACTCAGCAGCAACAGCAGGTTAAAAAGACAAAGATAGTTAGAAGCTAAAGCCAAAATATAGGCTACAGATCACAGTGTAACAGTGAACCACCCCATCACTGCTGAATATAAAGGGAGACTTTGCCAATATTGAACCAGCTGTGTGGCATCGCAGTGTGTGCCAGCACCTGGACCTCCGCCGCAGAACGGGCAGTGATCTCCTGGGGTCAAACAACATTCATCTGCACACAGTGTGATGCCACACAGCTGGTTGAATATCAGCAAAGTCTCCCTGCTTCCCTTCACTGGTTCCTGTACAGTAGGGTCTGCCTTTTTTTCATTGTTATAATCATTAAAAAGCAAAAGCAGCATGTGTATACATTCAGTAGGCTATATCTTCAGTAGCTAGCTAACCCTACACTTTTCAGGGTTTGATTTTGGTTTTGGAACAGGGAAGAAACATATATCTTTTTCCAACCTCTCCAGGTAACGAGTATCATTAATACACAACGTGCCCCAGGCACAACATTTAGCTCCAAATCCACAAAACCAGCCTGAAAATGAAGGAAATCTGAAACAATTGCTTTAGAGTCGATGGAGCAAAGCTGTGTTGTTGTCGGACCCTGGTCTGCATCCCTCAGAATATCATCTTTCTTAAGTCTGGTATTTTCAGATTTTATGTATTAAAATCTCTTCTGGCCTCATGCAGACTAAAAATCAGAACTTAAACAAAAGATGTGTTTTCAAGTTTAGTGTGTCTCAGTGTGAACCTCAGTTCAACTGGTTTGACATAGATAGTAGAAAAATAAAGTACAAATTCACACAAATTCTCCATTTAAAATAACAGTCTTTAATTTTTATTGTGAGACAAATAGTCTCCATAATCTGGTAGCACACAAACAATGTTCCCAAATGGGAAATAATCAGCCTGAGGATACAAACACGAGGATCTGAGTCACATTGCTTTGTGCTGAATGATCACTGTGTGATAAAAAGATGAAAAGATCCCTCTGTTAGAGATCATCCGTTTAATATGCATTACAGGAATTTTGGGGGGGCGGCGGAGATAAATTTACATGAATGACTTTAAGAGGAAAACACCACCTAAATTAAGAATTCCATCATGTTTTATCCACTACAATCAGTTTGTGAACACAAGCAACTCACTTTCAAAGCCAAAAACCAGAGAAGTAAGTCTAAAACGTGTGATGTAATCAAGTATAAAGTATGTAGCTGCTCTTTAGACAGTGTCATCTATAACATCTTTCCCAGTTCATTGTCTATAGAGCAGCTCCAGACTTTAAACTCTGTGACATCACAAATCTGAGTTTTCAGATTTAGGGGAGAGTTGTTCAACATCCTTTTCTTGATAATGGAGTTCACCCTGGGCTGCAGGCAGATTCCCTGTCACATGGTCCGACATGAAATAAAGCATCACGCAAACATTAAAGAAAGACTCTCTGACTGAAATACACTCACATTACAGTTTGCCATGGCCATTATCCATTCCACTCCCACTGATCCAGCATCAGTGTCTGACAGACCTGTGAGGGGAGACACTGAGGGTCATGAGGCCGGCAGCTGTGCAGGATGTAACTTTGGTAGTGAACTACTTTCACTTCAACATTTTCTCATTTCACAGATAAGATTTCTTCTCATGAGCCAGGGCTCAGTGTGTGTGTGTGTGTGTGTGTGTGTCTTGATAAACTGCTGACCTCAGTATGATAACCTGAGAATCCAGAGGAGCTTGTAGTTCTGGTTTGCAAGGAACAAGATGCTGGAACAACAGAGACAATGAAGGGCATTGTGTAGTTATTCTGTGTCTATGTGTGTGTGTTTGTGTGTGTGTGTGTGGGTATAGACTGTATCAGTGACCACGTTTACATGGTAAATATTGCTGTTCACATATCTGTCAAAACATAAGGGATGAACAAAGTCTCTCTCTCTCACACATACACACACAGAAATGAAACAAAAGTTCCAGTTTACTCCAGTTTATAGGCGCAGATTTCAGGGAGGAGACATAGAGGACACGTCCCCCTCAATATTTAAAACAGGTTCAATTGTCTTTCCCGATAAAAACATGAAAGTAGCAGAGAACTTTTATTTTGAGAAAATTAAAAATATTTATATCTTAAAGTGACACAGTAAAAGGCACAGATTGGTGTTTGATGCTCAATTTTTTCTGGCAGAGGACCCCTAAGCCCCCCATTTCATATGCCCCCCACCTAATGTTGAAACACTCTTGCTTCAGTTTGTTTGGCCTTCAGGAGCTCCAGCACCTGTTTTATTGCTTTTAGGCATAAAGACAATGGAAGAGCCAAATCTGACGTTTAAGTTTGCTGACAATTTTTCTATCAGACTTCATTTACTGTAATTTTATAAAGCTATGATGACAGACATTTTGAGGCCACACAGATCTACAATAAATCTGCAGCAATTAAAGATTTGATACCCACTTCAGCTCCGGACCTACTGAGAAACACGTAAAACAAGAAAAGATCACGTATAACAATAACACTAAGAGGTTAATAACTATCTGGAGAGAGGTTAATGTCAAACTAGCAGATTTAAAAACAAATATAAGAATCTTAAGTTTTGACTCCTGGACCAAAAAGCATGATCTAACACTGACTGAGTCTCCTTTTGGACTTGACTCTTTATTATGCAAGTCAAAAGCTGAGCTTCAACAGTTTATTATCTCCATTGTAAATTAATCTACATGATACTGCCAACTTGTGTCTGTTCCAAAACAAAATATTCCATTAATCAAACTATCACAGTCTGCACTGCAACATTTATATGATTTGAAATTGTCCATTTTACCAAGCTGTGCTCATGTTTATGGCAGTTCTCCCACATTGTTATCAACGCGAGGAACAGAAAACTTGACTCCACTCAATTTAGGCTACATGCAAGTCACATACATATCCAAAGCATTCTCAGTTTTTCTTTTGCAGTTTAGTTGAACATTGAATTTCCCCTCAGGGGAATTAATAAACTGGCTGATTGCAAGATAAGAAAAATTAATACAATTCAGCTCCTGAATAGACTGAAGTCTAGATGAATTAATCAGAGACCTCATCCATAAAATTAGTGCACAGCAGGATACAAATATATGGAAGCATAATGTATTCACTTAAAAAAAACTGCACTTTTTTTCTGAATTACCGAGATTCTTATCTTAGAATTCTGGGAAATGATTTCATGGAAAAGAATTCTGCTTTTTTTTATTTATTACTTTTTTAAAGATTCTAATCTTGCTAATTAAGGAAAAAGAGTATTTTTTTCCGTGAAAACCTTTCTCAGAATTTTGAGATAATAATCTTGTAGAAAAACAGGGTAAATAAATGCCCTCATGAATGCATAATACTTCCGTACCAAGAGGACAAAGATGTCTGTAGGTTAAAATGATGATGCAAAATTATTTGTTCTATTAATTTTTTTTAAGTCTTCCACAATCAGGTAAAACTACATTTTTTTTTTTGCCAACAACACTTGGGGAAACATCCTGAGGTTTATTCCTCACAACAGGAAGGAGACTGATTCACCAAATCAACTCATTTTCTTTTACAAACCATAGATTTTTTTTCGAGTGATAATGTAAAGGTATCCCACAATAAGTCTTGCAGGAGATAGCTGACAAATATAAACTCACTATTTAGTTTATTACAGAGCCTCCTCAAAAATATTAGCCTATGACTTTTCGTCAAAGAAGAAAAAATTACTCATTAACTTAATTGGTGATCTGAATAAGCCAAATTTAAAGACCAAAAAGTTTGACTAGACAGTCTGAACTCTGCATAGACTAATAGTGATATCACGGAGATCAATAACCTGAGGTCATAAACTCAGTAAGTGTCTCAGATGTCATGTCTGTTGTGAATATACCGGCATTGCATTAATATCAGCAGCACAATAACGTCACTAGCAAGTTAATTAGCTACACAGCAGTGTGAATTACAAGAAAAGTGAAGATCCTAAAATAGAAAATAATTTGTGTAATTTAAGAGTAAACAAGTTTTCTATAGATAATCCGGGTGATACGTGTGAAATCAGTAGAGTTTGCTCACCTGTGTGCAGAGAGAAGGAGATGTGTGTGCTCTGTTCAGGACTGTGAGGAGACTCAGACAGCTGGCAGAGAGGCTCGCGACTCAAGCTCATCTGAGGTCAGTGTTTTTAATTGTTGACGGTCATGGAGGAAGGTCGAGACTACCAGAGAGTGAATCATTGATGAAAAGTTACAGAGATTCAAAATGAGGCGGAGCAAGGTGTGTGTGTGTGTGTGTGTGTGTGTGTGTGTGTGTGTGTGTGTGTGTGTATGTGTGTGTGTGTGTCTTGGAGAAAGGAGAGAGTTGCCTCCAGACTTCAGGCGAACTTTACTTCCGGACTCTGCTCTGCGCTTTCAAAATAAGAGAAGTAACTAATGCTTTTACTTTGTTTTTATATTAATTTACATGTCTATTGTTGACGGATGATTACTAAATATAGGCTACTACTATGACTAATGCAATGTTAGTGGGTTAAGACACTGCTAAATTTCAGAGGTGAGATCAAGTCATTGTTTTGCAAGTCACAAGTAAGTCTCAAGTACTTCCACTCAAGTCCCAAGTGAAGTCCCAAGTCCTTAGCTTTTAGATTCAATTCCTAAGTCATTATGCACTCTTAAAATATAATTAATGCCAATACTGAATTTATAAAAATCACAAAATTAAAAATGTGCATTTATTTTTTAAAAAGTTACTTAGCTGTTATGCTAATGTTAGCTAAGCATTAGCTTGCTATTTGCCTTGATAATCATCCTTTATGTTCAGTACTTCCAGAAATGATTCAACATTTTGGGGAACATGATTAGCCTACTCTCTGTCTGTCCAAGATTTAGATGACAAAATAATGCATTTGTGCATTTGGTAAAAAACAGAGCTAGGAGACAATTAGCCTAGCTTAGCATGAAGAATTAAACCAGGGGAGAAGCAGCTGGCCTTGTTCTCTCTAAAATAAAGATAGGAACTATTAAATAAACATAGACAGTGATTTAAAGGTCTAATGTGAAGATTTAGTGGCAACCTCTCCTGTGTGCCAAGCGTGTAGAAAAAGGTGGCTGAAGTGAAAACATGAATGGCACTATCTAGAGCCAGTGTTTGATTTGTCTGCTCTGGGCTACTGTAGAAACAAGATGGCCGATTGCCATGGAGAAGGAACCTGACCGTATCAGAGGTATTGGATAAAGGAGATACCCCACCGTAGGCCTATCCAATGTTAAGAAAACGGTTCCTGTCTCCTAAGTGGGCGTGGTTAGCTTTCCCTCCAATCAGAGCCTGTTCTCCCTCAACCTCCCTCAAACTTTCTCTTGATCTGTGCGGATGAAAAATGCAGCTTTAGTGTCAGAATATTGGGAAGATGTGTGGCTTGTGGAAAATGAACCCAATAATTACTTTAGTGACTAAAGGGCGAAAGAATTGACCATAAATTGTGATCACGTTCATTTTCCTCATTGACGACAATACATTCAGAGCTGCCGCAATTTTCTATGGGGGCATGGTGCTGACATCACTGAATCAGGAAGTGAGCTGAGTGGGGTATCTCGCTTTATCCAATATCTTTGACCATATGTAACTTTGACACATTTACAGTTTCCTCCAAGGTAACCTTCTTCGCCCTGGACAGGAGCCCCGAGCAGTTGGATGTTTGGTGCCTTGCTCAAGGGAACCTCAGCAGTGCCCAGGAGGTGAGATGGCACCTCTCCAGCTACCAGTCCACACTCCATATTTGGTCTGGACAGGGACTTGAAGCGGTGACCCCTCCGGCTCCCTACCCAAGTCCCTATGGACTGAGCTACTGCCGCCCCAAGGTGACTTTTCTCAGAAGATGGAACGTGAAAACAGCCTTCAAGTGTCAAAATCTGCACATGCATCGTTCTGCAGAGTGACACTCAATCTTCCAAAAATGAATAAATAATTTTAAGCAAATTACATTTTTGATTGAGAGGGGACTCTTAAATGATTTTGAGCATTTTCCATTCCAGCATATAAGCTAGCTTTTATTTTGAAAGCAACAGAGTAAAGGTCTCCCTTCTTCAAAGAATAAAAAAATAAGACACCTTCCATTAATAATGGAAGGTGTCTTATTTTTTCATGTGGTACTATAATAATATTATAGTACCACATGTTTTCCACCCAACAGCTAACTGAGTTCTTCCATTTTGCTGGCTGTAGGCTTTCTGGCCTCTGCAACGAAACGAGAACGATTAGCAGTGACAGCAGAAAGGGCATGAAAGGAGCTGTCACCACCACAGCCAACTGTTGACGACAATACGGTCAATAGGGGGATGTGATATAAGCAAAGTTAGTTTATAGTCAATAGTACAACACACACAACACACCTACACAGGTACAGGAAACGCAGTGTGCGTGATCCCTAAAAAAAACAAAACAAGAGGCAGTGGATTTAATCAGACAAGACAGCTTTGGATGTTTATTAATTCATATGGATTGAATGACATTTGTGACCCAAGATTATCTTGACACACACGCACACACACCCACGCACACACACACACAAATCCCACCAGAGAGACACACAAAGAAGTAAAATTCCAAGAGCCCTTAAAACACTCCAGTAAAATAACTTTCATATCACAATATCAAATCCATACAGTGTTTTTTTATCCATTTCTGACATATAATGTAAACATTTCAAAGAACACACTCTGAACATTGTTTCCATCACATGTAAACTGCAGAGAGCTCCATTTACTAGATTTAAAATCCATGTTTATAGTGCAAAAATGTAGATTTTTGCACTCTCTAGTGACCAAGTGTGGAACATCATGTAAAATTCATTTGGGTTTCACAGTTGTGCTAAAACATCAATGCAAAGTGTCCTTTTTTAACTATGAAGAATTCCAAAAAAATAATAATTTAAGATCTTTTGCATATAGATATAAAAACTCAAAACATTGTTGTTTCTGTTCTCTGATTCATATTTTATATAAGACATTTTAACATTTTAAATTACAGCTCCTGTATCACTTGAGTTTTCACATTTAACGGTGCAGTGAGAAAGTACAATGTAGAAACTTTAAACACAAATGACTAATACTGCAGGCCAGGGGAAAATGAGCAAAGGCTTTCTCTCTGTTTTAGCTTGTTCATCTGCCACAAACCTGAACCTTCTCCTCACAGTCTGAAAAAAGTAGCTTATTTACTTAATAATCATGTTATTCTGTTACAGTGTAAGTCTGATAACATAAAGGAGCTGTAATATCAAGTGTCACAGAATACAGTACTTCTGTCTCGACTTTTATATTGCACAAAACATGAGGCTTCTAGGAGCCTCACTGACCAGCCTCGTCTACTGCATTTAACTCCTCCTTTTGGCCACATTTCCCCCACCCACCCCCCTTTCCACACTCCTCCCCTTCTCCTTCCTTTTCTTAACCTTAATATTTTCCACAATTCACACAGAATTTCAGTATTTTCCCACATTTTGTTGATTTCATCTGCCATGTCAGGGGCTTTTGAACTAGTTCAAATCTAGGTATAGTACTCATGAAAAATGTTGTCATGTGCAAACTTTTTTTCCCCATAAAGTATATTGAGTTCCCCTCTTCCAGGTAATGGATACAGTTTCAACTGGCCTGTGTTAAAGGAACAGTTTTCCTCCTATCTGTAGTGCTAATTAGCAGTCTAGATGTGTGTTGGAGACATTGGCTGTAGAGATGTCTGCCTTCTCTCCAATATAATGGAACTAGAAGGCACTCAGCTTGTGGTGCTCAAAGAGCTAAGAAAGATATTTGAGAAACTCAACAGCAATGTCTCTCTCCAGAAATCATGGCATGGTTACTCAAGATAATCCACAGACCTTGTTGTGAGCAGTTTCATGTAGGAACTATTTTCTTTCTACCAGCTGGACCCACCAACTGTATCACTGTGCTGAAAGGCATGTCCATCTACTGCTAGCTCACATAGCACCATTGAGCTAGCTAACGAGCTCAGACAATGGGGACGTCATTAATGTTTACATCTTGCCCTGTCCCAAGCACGAGCCTCTCGTCCATGAGTGATTGCATGCTTCCTTCTGAGCAGTGATATGATTGATGTGTGTAGTTTGGTAGGGAGAAAGTAGTTCCTACATTAAGCTCCTTACAACAAGGTCTGCGGATTATCTTGAATAACAGGTCATAACTTCTGGAAAGAGTAATTGCTGTTGGGTTTTTGGCGCTTTGAGCACCACAAACCGAGTGCCATCTAGTTCCATTACATTCAAGAAAAGGCAGACATCTCTACAGCCGCAATCTCCAACATTCAGCAACTCCCTATCAACTGATAAATAGCACTGCAGGTATAAGGAAAAATATGTACTGATACATATTGATTTTGGGTAAACTGTCCCTCAATAGAAATAGAACTCATTCAGGAAGTAAAGTACAAATAGTACTAGTATCTCCTGAGTAGCTGTGAGCAGCAACAAGATACTGATGCCAAGAACCAGAGAGGAATGTAACAGATATTCAAAAAATCTGTTTCCATCCACTTTTGATGCACCTTCCCTGTATTGATTCAGAACTTAACACACCTCAGCTGAGTGTAGAAAACTTTTTGCAAAATCTGATTTTTGCTTTGAATTTCTACTATTTCCATTTAGGCCTTTAATGTACAAAGTAGAACTCAGCATTAAAAACAGGTGGTTGGAGATTGACTTATTAGTCAGACGTACCATATACTGGCAGATGTGTAACAGGTGTGAAACATTAGCTGTGAGGTTTGGACGGTAATGATGTGAACACCTCCAAACTCTAAAAGCTTCCAATGTTCCACCTCCCCTTCATCAGCCTCCTTCTGCCCACCCCCCACACCACTTTGTCCATCATCTTTATGACATTACTCTCAAAAAAATATCTTTATTTTCTCATTTCCTTTCCTATTCCAACCTCTCCTTTATTTCCCCTTAACCCTGATCGCACCTTACCACCCCCTCCCCCCCTCCCTCTCTCTGATGGGTACAGGACACCAAACACATGAAAAAGGGACAGGGTCTTTTCCCTGCAACAGAATGAATTTGGCACATGATGATTGGCAGCCCAACGCCTCCAGTACGATGAGGGCGGGATCACTTGAGTACCTCGTCTGTGCTCTTGAACATGAGAATGGCGTTGGAGATCTTGAGGGCGGGGCCTAGCTTGATGCTCATGATCTTCACAATGTCGGTCTGGGTCAGCAGCAGGAAGGCCTCCCCGTCAATCATCTGGGGAGATGGAGATAAAACAGTGGTGATGCAACTGGATGT